TTCTAATCTTCTTTCTTTCCCGAAAGGGAAATTCTTAATTGTTCTTATTCTTAGATAGAATAATATCCCACAAAAATATGTTGTTTTAAAAAACTACCGATAGATCATTCCGGTAGGTATGCTTTATAGTTCTAAGATATGGTTCTAATAGTTAATATTAGTTCCAGATCTTGTAAGAACAATTTTTGTTAATAAATTTTTCATTTTGTAAAAATTTTATGATTTTTGTAAAGAGTTTTATGTTTCATGCTGAGTATATGATAATAGCATGTCTTAACTCCAAGTTAAAAGTTTAAACTGTTTTTAAAATAAGCCCTAAGTGACCTCTCAAAGCGTAAAGGCCCAGTGAAGAGGCTAGGAGACGCATAGAAGAGGGAAAGGGATCACTGTTTTAAGAATTCTTGTTAAGGGAGCGCCAGTGGTGTCCTTACAAGAATGGAGTTAGGCCCAAGTTCATATATCTCAGATGGCATGATTTAAAAAAAAAAAAAAAGGGATATTATTTTATCAAAAGAAAAAGATATCTAAATTAAGAAAAGTACTGAGTAGGATTTTTCATAATTTGTTTTAACAACCCCTACAACAACCTACAAATCCTTGAAATAACCTCCTTTTTTCAGGGACCCCCCTTACTTCTTCTTTTTTTTTCTTTTTTTTTTTTAAAAGTCACGCCATCTGAGATATATGAACTTGCGCCTAACTCCATTCTTATAAGGACACCGCTGGCACTCCCTTAATAAGAATTCTTAAAACAGTGATCCCTTTCTCTCTTCTATGCGTCTCCTAGCCTCTTCACTGGGCCTTTACGCTTTGAGAGGTCACTCAGGACTTATTTTAAAAACAGTTTAAACTTTTAATTTGGAGTTAAGACATGCTATTATCATATACTCAGCATGAAACATAAAACTCTTTACAAAAATCATAAAACTTTTACAAAATGAAAAATTTATTATATCAATAGAAGATTATAATAATAATTGTAATCTAGAAGAACAATCAGATTATGAAAATTTCATACAAGAATTTTCAAATATTAAAAATTTATCAGATTCAGATGAAGAATTAGAATTTATGGATATAGAATTAGAATGTAAACATAAATGGATAAAAGAAACAGGTTCAGATAGTATACCATGTTTTTTATGTAAATGGTATCCTAGTAAAAAATTAAGAGTTAAATGTAAAGAGTGTTTTTTAGAAGCATGTAAAAAATGCTTAATACAAAAAGACTTAGTAGAATTTGAAGAGGATAATCAGAATGATTCAATTCAAATAGAATTATCAGAAATAAAAATATTAAGAAAAAGAATAGAAAACTTAGTATATTTTGAATTCTTTCATCATAAATAGTTAATAAAACTTTATTTCCTAAATTTTTTCTCATTAATCCTTTAATTCCTATTACTATTAATCCTAAATGCATAAATCTAAAATTCTTTTTTCTTAATTCTGTTTTAGATTCTTCTGATATTAATGATAATTGTCTTACTTGACCATCTAAACATTGAATTGATACTTCTCTAGTATGTCTAAAAAATTGGGTTCTTGATTCAAAAATTCCTCTATTATATAAATTTTCTGGATTAAGTAATTGTAGACCATGAGTTTGAAATCTATTATAATCTTGTTTAGGATCTATAAGTTCTTCTATATTCTGATTATACTGAGACTGTCTATGTAAAATTCTTTCTATTATATTTGTACTTATATTAGAAGTACTATGTCTACCTCTATCATAGGGTTCTGAAAATGATCCTACTTCTCTAATAGTTCTTGATCTGCCAGGAAAATTATTCATATTTTATAAAATATTGTAGATAATTTTCTAGTTATTTTTTCTTTACCTGTATTTTTTAAACTTAATCTATCTAGCTTATTTATTATATTTTCTATTTCTTGATTTGGTTTATTTTCTATATTGTTTAATTTTTTATTTATATTTTCTATTGCTTCTGTAGTCTTAAGATCTGAAAATTTTTCTTTATCTTCTACTCTAGA